CTCACATGAGGCGCAAAATAACATATAATACAACAATAAAATGAAAAGACATAAATAATTGAAGCTGCAAGCAGCGTTGGGCGGGACCTCGCACTCCACGCAACTCGGGGCGTGCTGCGGCCGCGTCGCGTGCCGACGTAACGCGTGCGGACCACAACATGAAAATCTGCCGTTAATCGGCTCAAAATCGCCACGCGGCGCTTACTTCCTGTTGCCAGTAGGTGGCGCTATCACTATGTCTGAATATTGTCCTGTACACGTGTTCAGGGCGGGACTGTTATCAAGCATTTGAAGTGTGGAGCCGATTGGACAATGTACACTCAAGTTATAGCGAATTCGTGTTTTGTGTTTTTTTCCCGCCACCCCACAGACACGCCCCCTCACCACAGTCAACACATATCATCAACAATGTGTTTTGCATTTTATAAGTACATTTCAGCTGGATCTGATCATCCTGTGAGGAGTAGAACATGAAAGTATAAAATGATACTTCCTGTTACCAGTATGTGGCGCTATCACTATGTCTGAATATTGTCATGTAGACGTGTTCAGGGTGGGACTGTTATCAAACACGTGAAGTTTCATTGAGATTGGATCATGTACGCTGAAGTTATGAGGACGTGTTCAAGGTGGGATTGTACACTGAAGATATGAGTACTATCTGTTTGATGGCCAATCGGTGGAATTCGACACGTCGTCACGGGCACACAGTTAAACATACAGTCACAAATAGCACAACTTTTGATAACCAATGTGTGTAGATTGAAGTGATCGAATTTGAAGTCAATCTGATAAAATGTGTAGGAGGAGTTAGTTAAAACAGAAGCCCTTAAATGCCGGAAATAGCATCATAGATTTGATTCAACCTGGCCAAATTTGAGGGCACGCCACGGACACGCCTTTTAATGTACATGCACAAATAGCACAACTTTTAATCAGCACAATTTTTTGACTGTACTGACCAATTTTGAAGTAGATCTGATAAATTCTTTAGGGGGGTTTTTTTAAATAAAAAAAAAAAAAATAAAAAAAAAAAAGAAAAAATAAATCCTTTGAGGGCAGAGGACCGTTCGTTGATAGCACAACTTTTAATAGAATCATTTTTACGCTTTGAAGAAGAATTAGCCGAAAGTGAAAATCAAAATCAAAATGGCCGACTTTCTGTGGGGTTTCGGGTATGGGTCCAAGAGGCTTTTTTTGTACGTCCCAGCATGTTACACGTGCCTACCGAGTTTCGTACATATTGGTGAAACGTGGCGCCGGGGCTGCTGTTTTTTTATCCTGTAGGGGGCGCTACACACACGACAAACATGATTTTTGGTATGTGAGCTTCAGGCACTACTGTACACGTACCCTGTGAATTTCATATTCATAACTATTACGGTCTCCGCACAGTGATTTATCATGCCAAAAGAGCGCCACCTAGTGGCGTATTTTTTTTGTCCTTTTTAAGGGAGCCTCAGGGAGCCATGGGGAAGCATTGTACCAAGTTTCATCTTAATCACACATACCGTTGTAGAGATATAAACTTCTTCATTTTAAAGAGCGCCACCTAGTGTCGATGGCCTGAAATTGTGCACGATGCTTAAGGAAGACATGTGGAACTATGGACCCAAGTTTGGTGTCAATCGGACATACCAATTTGGAGAAATTGTCCACTTCCTTTTTTGATGAAAAATCCACAGGAAGTGCTAATTTTATAACGTGCTGGTTTTTTGAAATATCAAAATTCTGTTAATCACTTTTTTATGAGTGTCCTCAGATGATACGTGAAAAATTTTGTGCGAATCGGACAAAGCGCATGGGGGGAACACGGAAAAGTAGTTTATGGACATTTCACGCTCTAGCGGAGAAGAATTATAGGCGGAAGTGGGCGTGGCCTATATGGGGAGATTCAGCTCCATTCACCGCGTGGATACAAGGTTTTTGATGTGAACAAATTATGAGAAAAAAACATTTTTTACTAGCGCCACCTGTGGCCAACACGAAGAATATCCTTTACGCTTTAAATAAAATTGACTTTTCGTATATGTTCAGGGGGGCAAAAATGCAGTGAAAGGGGGCTAAAAATAATAATAGGTAAGAAGAAGAAATCAAGCAAAAACAATAGGGACCTTGCCGGTCGCTGGCTCGGTCCCTAAAAATAATAACCATGCAATAACAAGCAATCAAAAAGTAAAAAAAACAAATACAAAAAATAAATCAAGTAAATAAAGTTGACATCTTACTAGGTGTCAAAGGCCACAGAGAAGAGATGGGTTTTAAGACTGGTTTTAAAAACAGACGAGAAGAGGCCTGTTTAATGTGCAGAGGCAGATCATTCCATAATTTAGGAGCAGACACAGCAAAGGCACGGTCCCCTCTGAGCTTCCGCTTAGTTTTAGGCACACTCAGGAGCAGCTGATCATCTGACCTGAGGGGGTGGACGGGTATATAGGGGTGTAGAAGCTCAGATAGGTAGGGCGGGGCAAGACCATTTAGGGATTTAAAAGCAAATAAAAGAATTTTAAAATGGATCCTAAATTTAATAGGCAGCCAGTGGAGTGAGTATGCAAAAAGTCAAGATGCTGCAAAGAACACAGAGAGAAGAGTCTTTTTGCCCAGAGGACAAACAGAACTGGATTCGCAGAGGAAGATTATTTGTGCCCAAATAACATGTTAGCTTGACCTTTCAGAACCATTTGTGGCTAAAGAGCATAAAGCTAGAGCGATGAAGTGAGCCATAGACAGAAATATTATAAAGCCTTTTAATATCCTTGTCACAGAGTTATGGTCTTCCCCCGCACCCCTCCTTGTGCCTGTTTGCCTGGATTTCAAAACCTTGCTGCAACATTACAGGTATAGTTTAACATTAATCTTCATAAGCAAGAAAGCTTGAACTTTAATGTAATGCTGAGCTCATCCTGGAGTTAGTCAATATCCCAAGCACTGGGACAGCATGTTGGTGCACATCCTCTCTGCCTCTCTCCTGAAAGCAGGACTCTATATATAGGCTATAAGGCTACGCCTAGAGACTGCATAACTTAAGTTACTGAACATTTTACTCAGCTCCAAACTAACTGTCACAATGTCAAACAACTAGCAACAATCTCTACAACAACGCAACCCAGCATCAGAGAACAGAAGAGCTGAGTGGTTGAACTTTATTTTACTACAGACTGCTTTCTTAACAAGGGCTAACTGTTCAAGCCCAATGTTGGATTTATAACGTTACCAGCTGTCCATGAACTTACTTCAAATCTTGGAAGCATGTTGCTAAGTGTCTACTGCCTCAGGCTTAATGATGCAATATTGAGGGACAGTGGAGAGAAACTGTGTGAATGTTAAGCCTCATTTGATGCCAGTATATGTATGGGTATGTGTGTATGATGTTGCTGTTGTGTTATGTAACAATAAATGGCAAATGGACCTGTACTTGTATAGTGCCTTTCTAGTTTTCCGAAACTACTTAAAATAATAAATGTGGAAAATAAATGGTCAGACTGCAGGAATTAATTTTCTTGGCAATGCTGTTTAACTTTGATTAACAAACAGCAAGCAAGTAGAGAGTGCTCGGGCCCCTCTTCCACCAAATTAGTTCTTGGTCTTGAACCTTGGTGCTATCTAGCCAACCAGCCCTGCGTTTTCACCAGTTTTGAGTGAAACCATAGTAATTGGATGCATCATCAATAGAGGGCGCTACACTATGCACAACAACTTGTAGAACATGACACACCCTCTTTGGTTCCCAAGGAAAACCTGCTATTTTTTGTTTCCATTAGGACCCAAATTTTCAGGTTCCAAACCAATTTAGTTTTGGTCTAAATGCTCAGAACACTTCAAAACTAGGTGCTTGAACCAGAACCGAGCCTGTTCATGAACTGTGGTCCATTTAGTCAAACCAGATTGTTTTCTCCTGGTGACCAATTGATTGGTTGAAGAGTAGGTAGAATATCAGTCAACCGGTTTGCCGGTTGACTTTAGCCCTAGTTTTTACTGTTTCAATGAAGGTCAGGAGGAAAAGGGGGTTGGTGCTCCCATCATTGAACATATGAGTCAATCCAACAGGAACATTTTGTGCTAGTGTTATTGCCCTGCTGGTTGCTTCAGGGGGTGCAAAGGAAATAAATTACCTCTGGGAATTTCACAATGAATGTATTACTTTCCCTCTTTTATTTATCACAGTGATAACTCCGTATTAGTGATTAAGGCTGTGTCGAATAGCATCTCAAGGCTTAAACATCAGTTAAGATTCAGCGACCATAGCAACAAGTGTTTTTAGGTTCTAGTGATGGAATGGTCCAGTGGTACACAGGGGGCGCTTTAACATTGAAGTGCTATGAAGACTTGAAGACTGTATGTTATGTCAGGTATATGAGTAATAATTGTAACAATATTTTACAAATTCTCGTATCTAACATCATCATAAATCTATAGCTGTTAGGGGGCCCTCATAGTTTTTGGCCCAATGCAGTTGCCTACCTTGTCTAATGGTAAAGTCCACCCCTAAAATACATGTTGTTGCTTTAAAGAGAGAGTGGTAGGGCCTTTTATGCTTGGAGGTTCACCCACTTGATATGCAAACTCAACGACTGTAGATGTGCTCCTTCCCACCCAGAGATCAATACATGACTGGGAGCAGAAGGCAAACTTTACCCCAGGCAAGTACATAATCAATAGCCATGTGGGTTCTCGCTAATTAAACTGCCACATTAATATATCTCTCACTGAAAGCTACCTCTGGACAAGAAGGGCGGAGGAGAGGTTGGACATGATGAGATCAGATGCGAAAAGGGAAGAGAGGGGAAATAGAGAAAGAGATGGACCAAAGGCCCGAGGGAGACCATCAGAAGAAAAGTGGTGATTCTTCTAATCTGATAACAATTATACACCAAATTACAGGTTGACATAACAAAGGTAACAAAACTAAGGCTGAATAATGTGATACCTTGGATGGCAACAAAGTTATTTACCAATTATGTGCAAATTTTTCTTTCTTATGTCTTTGTTCTTCATTTAAGACGTGACACAGACAGCCTGCCGGATGATCTCAACACCTTTTACACCTGTTTGAGACCTCCAGCCACAACACAGAGAGGAGGCCTGCACACACCCAGACTCCCCAGACCACTCAACACCCCTCCCCTCCCCCAACAGTTTCAACAGGCCAGGTACACAGAGCACTGAGGAGGATTAACCCCCGGAAGGCAGGAGGACCAGACAACATCCCGGGGCGGGCCCTCAGAGCATGTGCTAATGAGCTGGCTGACGTTCTCACCTCCATATTCAACCTCTCCCTCAGCCAGAGCATTGTTCCCACCTGGTTCAAGACCACAAACATTGTTCCCCTCCCCAAGAAAAGCCCACCCACCTGTCTGGATGACTACAGGCCAGTAGCACTCACTCCAATCATCGCAAAGTGCTTCGGAGAGTGGTGATGGCCCACATCCAGAACAGCCTACCAGACACACTGGACCCCTTGCAATTTGCATACCGGCTGAACAGGTCCACCTCAGACGCCATCACTGCTACACTCCACTATTCCCTATCCCACCTGAAAAACAAAGACTCCTACATCAGGATACTCTGTGGATTACAGCTCGGCATTTAATACAGTCATCCCCCACAAACTCACCCTCAAACTGCTCACACTTGGCCTGCACCCCACACTCTGCGACTGGCTCCTAGACTTTCTGACTGGCAGGCCCAGTCTGTCAGGATTGGTAATAGGACTTCAGCCAGCATCATCACCAACACTGGCACCCCTCAGGGATGCGTTCTCAGCCCCATCCTCTACACCCTGTTCACCCATGACTGTGTCGCCTCCCACAAGGACAACATCATCCTGAAGTTTGCGGATGACACTGCAGTGATCTGTCGCATCACTGGAAGCGGCCTACAGAAGGGAGGTGGCCGGTCTAGTGGCATGGTGTGATGACAACAACCTCTCCCTCAACACAAACAAGACAAAGGAGATGATAGTGGACATAAGGAAGGAGAGGAGACCTCATCAACCACTGTCTATCCGGGAGCTTGAAGTGGAGAGGGTGAGCAGTTTCAAATACCTGGGTGTCCACCTCAGTGAGGACCTCACCTGGACACTGAACACCACGCAGCTGGTTAAGAAGGCCCAACAACGGCTGTATTTCCTGAGGAGGCTGAGGAAGTTTGGCATGTCGCCCAGGATCCTCTGCAACTTCTACAGCTGCGTGGTTGAGAGCACCATAACCAGCTGCATCACAGCGTGGTACAGCAACACTACTGTTGCGGACCGCACTCGCCTGCAGAGAGTGGTTAAGACTGCTGAGAGGATCACCAGGACACCACTGCCCTCTCTGCAGAGCATCTACAATCGCAGAGTCCACAGGAGAGCTGCCTCTATGCTCAGAGACCCCACCCATCCACAACACGGACAGTTCACACTTCTACCCTCAGGCCGGAGGTACAGAAGTTTGAACAACAAGACTCAAAAACTCTTTCTTCCCCTCTGCAATCAGACTCCTGAACAGTTGACAGGAGTCACATCAATGTACCACCTCGTCACCTTACACCTGTACTTCTGTTTACAACTGCGCTCTTGCACAACTGTTTTGCACATCCCATGGTATACATTGCACATTGCACATCAGACACTTTTAAAATTACTGTAATATTGAGTTATTTTTAATTTTATTACTGTACTAATATTGTGTTTGTTACTATTCTATTATTGGGTAATATTGTGTTTTTTGTTACTTATTGTACTTGCGTCGGTATCAGGGTGGACAGCACAGCAAATAAAGAATTTCATTGCACAGAGGAAAACTTGCTTTCTTTTGTTTCATATGACAATAAACATCTTGAACTTGAACTTGAACTTGACAACTGTAAAAACACCAAACACCATGTTGGCATGGAGGACGATATATATATATATATGACCTTTAAGGTACAGATCTACAGCCAATGGTCTGTTTCCATAGCCGGTCTGCTCCATGTGCAGCTGAGTAAAATGACTAAAACTGTTGTTTTTAATGTCGGTGAATTGTAGAAACAGTGGAAAGACTTACAAAGACAGTTTTGGTTTCTGCTTAGAATGAAGTTCTGACGTTACAATAGTAGGCAAGGTAAAATTACTGCTGTTGTCTATGGGGTCTGGTGGTGAGCGATAGCTACATATATTAAATCTGTTTCCAGACCAGAAATCTGGTAATAAAAAAAATATTTACCATTAAAATAGCATTATGTGGGAATTCTGTTTTAAACCCAAGGACTATTTTGGGATGACAATGTAGGTCAGAGTTTGAAGTATTAGAATAGACTCACAGTAAACAGCTTATAGGGGTAAAATATTGGTTATTTGGCTTGTTTTCAGTTCAGTTCAGGAATCCCTGTAGTGTTATTTTTGGACTCATAGGGCTCCAACTTCAAGTTAGGAATAATAAATATGCAACGTCTGGCTAGACATTCAAGTTACATTATGTACCTGATGAAAGTTAAGTATGTGAACAAAACATAACTTAGGGTTACGGTTAAGGGTTAGGGTTATGCCTAACATACCTTAAGTACGTTATGGAGATTAAGTTACGTAAAGCACTTTTAGTTTTACACGGGACACCAACAGTGGTCTACTGGGTTAAAGTCCTGTGTTTGTTTGAGCCGTCCATCCACCCCAATTCCTCTATATGCAGACTTTCTTGCTCTTTCTACGATGTCACTGACTTTGATCCGTCCAGAAATTACACTAGAAGGATATCTACAGCATTATATTTTTAAGTGGAGGGCCACTGATCAAGTAGCAGTATTTGACGAGTTGGGGAGTGATTCCAGTTTGGAATACCATATATTACTACTGACCATTTGGTTAACCATGCTTTACTGTCTATTCATTTCTGTACAGATTAAAATGGCAGACTCATGAAACTTGCCTGAGTTGAGTTGTGTAATTCAATGTAAAAAGTTAGGTGTGCCTTACTTTTTATCAGAATTATATTATGTCATAACATATAAATCAAGCCTTCTTTAAACGCACAACATGTAGTTTCTGCCACTAGGGGGTCTCTCAAATAAAAACAATAACAAAAGACAGAGTTTGATGATGCCATGAAGTAGCGTGGGATCATGGAAGTTGACTTCACCACCATTGCCGTCACTGCAGTCAGCTTCTCCTGGTTAGGATTCCTTCAGTGTTCATGATTCAAGAGGTTTCTACTGGGAGCCCAGTTATCCACAGAGGTCTTCTCCTCTCCAAAACAAACAGACCCGCTGGTTAAAACCGCTAAAAACACTGAATAAAGCAGTTCCACCTTAAAAATCACGGTTTCTCCCACACTGTTGGCTGCTGCTAACGTTAGCTCAGCTTGTTTCTCTGATAACTTATATAATATATATATATAACTGATCCAGATGTCCGATAACTAAAATTCTTCATCTGGTTCAAATCTTGAGTTAAAAACCACCAAGATCTAAACAGTGGATCGTAATAATGTGGCTTCAGACTGGATAAAAACTCAGTGTATGACAACCACAATGCTGATGCATGCACAAAGGGGATATGACGCCTTTGACAGTCGACTGGTGAAACGCAGCGTTACCTGAAGGAAATTATAGATTTCTCTGATATTGCTGGAAACATGGAAACATTTGGGATAATGTAAGTACACAAATCAACTACCCAGAACATAGGTCTAGTGTTTATAGACATTTTAATGCGGAAATGTTACAGATTATAGCTTTAACCTGCATTATCATGCATTAGTAGACCAAAAAATTGAATGATGTTCACATAATTCAACTTGGGCTAAATCTACTGGATGGAGAGAAGCGCTGAGTGATGTGAACAAGGAGAATGAAAGAGAGGCAAAGAAGAAAGAGTGAAGAGGAAAGAGTGGGGGAAAGGAGGACAAAGATTAGAGACAAAGGAAGCCACAGCCTTGCTAACAGCAGAGAATACAGTAAGCGCATAGAATGAAAGGAAAAGGGAGAAGGAGAGCAGGCGGGGGGGCCGTTGGATTAGTGTAGAGCAGGTGGGGCGGCGGAGGAGGCATTAATATGTTATTTATTGATGAGGGATAGAATATGCGGACAGAGCAGAGTGTAGGCGAGGCGAAGCCTGCGTGTTGTGGAAGTCCCTTACGCTAGCAGTATGCGCCTTTCCATTTACGCACTTCATACATACTAATACACACACACACCAACCCACCAACCCACCCACACACACACACACACACACACACACACACACACACACACACACACACACACCAACCTCCATTCCTCCCAGCCATCCCTTTCTTCCTCTGCTTACCTCTTCCTTCCACACAACATTGGCAGCAGCTCATCTGAATCCTGGCCTAAAAACTGCATTTGTCTGTTAGAGTGTGTGAAACTTAAAGGATTAGTTCAACATGTTGGGAAATACTCTAGCTGAGGGTGAGATGAGAAGATTGATCTCAAGTCTGTGTGTTAAGGCAATTAGCCTAGTCTGGAAGCAGGGGGGAAACAGCGACCCTGGCTCACCGCACACCGCCACAGAGATTGATATTGATCTTCCCATCTCATTCTCAGAAAGAAAGTGGGTGTGCATTTCCCAAAATGTCAATCTGTTCCTTTAAAACTCATCTCATTGAGCCAAACATGACCATGTCTTACTTTGTTGACACATCAGGGGTAACCTTTATGACAAATATGTAGCATTTCCTGTGGCTGCCTCACAATTAAAGCCAGCCCACAGTACATTATCTTGATGTTAAGCAGCAGCTACAACTTTAGCAATGCTTTAATAGAATAAAATTAAATTACAGTAACTTGAATTCCTCGTGCATGTGAAGACAACCTGAATCCAGTGCAAGAATGGTAGACTCCGCCACTAATACTGAAAACTACTATAAGGTAAATCCTCCTCCTTGCACATACCTGCACATTTAGGCAGTTGTGAATCCACAATACGCTCACACATGCACACAAACCCATACAATACAATTTATCACCTTTTCGTATTATATCACACTATTTAGAGAAGATATCACAGAAAACATACCAACCATAAATATCAAAAATGGGATCTAATGACATTCTTTAAGTCCCTATACATTAATGCAATCCTGTCTCCCTTAATCTACGTTTGTATAAAACTAAATTGTTTTCATAATTGCATTGTGGTGACAATCTAATTGCCTCCTGGCTTATGTTCAGAGACAATGTTTTTTTAAAACAATATATTTAACGGCTGTACAAAGTTCAGGACTGTCACGCCATAGCTCCGGGTTTGCGCCCTGTCTCCTGCAACAAAAGCACTTTGGTTAAGGTTAGGGAAAGACTGGGATTTTGGTTAAATTTAGGCAACACGCACGTTTCTTGAAGCTGAATAAACCCTTTATTCACTCAGAAAATAACCATGAAATGATAATTAAAGCTGTTCCATCAATCACCAACTCTGGTTTGGTGGGAATAAATTCTTAATTCACTGACGCGGATGATAAAAAACAGGGGTTTCAGTCGCTCTACTCAGCTGCACACGCAGCAGGCTGGCTATGTAAACAAACGACAGAAAGGCTGCGATAGCAACACAGGCAGAGGGAGTACTCCACTATATCTTTAGATAGAAAATTGTTGTTTGTTATTAATGTTTTAAATCTCATATATAACATTTAAGATCGTGATTTTGGTTGAATGTTAGAAAATTGTATGTCTCAAGTCATTGCTGACATTTGAATATTGCTGTAGTCACTATGAGTGGATAGTATTGCAAGATCACCTATTTTAGCAGAAAACAAATGAAATACTATACGAATGAAATATGATACATTCTGTATCAACATTTTTGCATACTGCCAGTTAAATTAATTAACAACAACTCATTATGTTAATAGTAAACATAATTCAATCCGTATTGCGTTTCCCCCAAAACATATTTGCTGTTACAAATGACTTGTGTTTAAAAGTAATTTCTAGGAGACAGGGCTGACTAAAGTGTACTGTAAAAGCACAGCTGCAGTAAAAATGGGTCAATATTTGACAAACTACGTGAGAGGCTGACTATAACAGTAAAACATGTTTAACCACAGCTTGGATTAATTTACAGATGAGAAGAGCTTATCTTTCACTGCCAGACTGCATTGTCATCCGAAACATCATACCGTAATAATGATCATGTTTGATTAAACACTCGGAATGAAATACAAAAAGAGGCAAAGAGAGGAAGAAAGGGAGGAGGAAGACAGCAGGCAGGATGGGAGGAGGAGGTTGCTAATTGATTAGCTACAGAGAGAAAGTCAGAAGCTTCATCTGCCAAAGTGCTGCTGGGCGTGACACCCCACCCCCTTGGCCCCCACCCCTCCCTCCCTTGTCCTCCTCCTCCTCCACAAAGGGAGGGAGGCAAGACACAGGCAGTTGATATAGGCCTTATCAGGACCACTGTGATCAGCTGCACCTCCAGGCCTATTCTCTGCAGTTTAACACCACCACAGAGACCTAATGTGTGTGTGTGTGTGTGTGTGTGTGTGTGTGTGTGTGTGTGTGTGTGTGTGTGTGTGTGTGGAGGCTTGTGCATGTTTTTAACACAACCCTGTGTTAAGAGCAAGTGAATGTGTTTGTATATGCATTGTGAGGTGTAAGCATTAAAAGCTTTTTTTCTCTGGGAAAATGACCTACTATTTACTGATTAACATCAGCTCTGGAATAGATAGTGGTGTGTGTGTGTGTGTGTGTGTGTGTGTGTGTGTGTGTGTGTGTGTGCATGTGTGTTTGGCTTCCTTTACACCAGTGACAGGAGCTGCATTATCAATCCCACCCACACGCACTCCTCACAATAGCAACATTAATATTAACACCTTATGTAATGTTGGCTTTGAGCTTCATTTCTCTTCCAGAGAAAATGAAAGCTGCATGCTGCAGTTTTATGTGCCTTAAATGGCACACTTCAGAGCAGGAAGATGCACACAATGCTGCTGAGTTGGTAGGCTGTCACTCATGTGACCCCTACCCCTCAGAAAAGCAGGCAACCTTTGTGTAAACATTATAGCTTCCACTTCTGTGTGTATACTATATGAGAGTTTTATGCTGAGAAGTGATAACATATTACATTTACACTCAATGCGTCTCTTGATACCTGATATCTAATAAGCCAAGTGTAAATGCAACCAAGAAGCATTAGACCTGGTTTATGCTTTGTTATTTGAAGTGTCTGATATCCGGATACACAAACACATGAATCACATTCATGGACAATGAGGGAGGCTAAAGTTTGATTGTCATTATTGGCTCCCATTCACACCACTCCCTCTCCCATAAAGATAGCTAGAAGTAGGGGTGCTGAGAGGGTCCGTGTATGTTTTGGTCATTGGATTTTCCTTTCAGAAACGGGTATTAAAAAACAGAAAACGAGTGGTTATTTGATTTTCGTTTTAAAATACAAAAATTAAAATTGAAATACAAGGCGTTTTTCTTTTTCATGGTCAAAAGGGGATGAGAGAAATTAAAAAAATTATTCGATTTTCATTTTCTATTTCATAAAACAAAAAATAAAATCACTAGAAAACAGAAACTGAAAAAAGGCCTGTTTTTTCATATTCTGAGACCGGATGTTGTCATTTACAGGACGGTGCTGTGGAGAAGAAACAGTAGGCTAGTAGACTGCGGTCAATCCAGCCGTGAGTCCGATCTCCGTGGTCAAATCAGCCGCACTTAAATTTAGAGTGTACAAGTATTCTCAGCATTATGGTAAATGCGGAGAAACAGCGTATTTACTTCCGGTTTTCAAAATAAAGGTATTTAGAGCCATAAGCTATAATTAAAATATGTTACATTAAAGTGTTGTGCCCCTGATGAATAAAAAAACACTTTATATCAAGTATCTTTACTGCACCAGTGTGGAGAAATGCCAAAATAAAAGCCTCATATTTATGCCTCCAGAGATTGCATATTTGACCATATTTGAGGTACTGTAAAAACATATTGCTCAGTGTTTCCTGGCTACTGATGTTATATTTGACTTTTACACATATGAGACTACAAACATACTTAATATCAAGCATTTTTACTGTACCAATTTGGAGAAATCCTCTTCTACGGAGTATGCCAGTAAGAACTGCCATGTTTCTACAGTAGCCCAGAATGGACAAAACAAACACTGGTTCTAGATAGGACCCTTAGGATTTTTTTGTGAGTTTAGCAGACATGTTATTGTTTCCTACACACTTGGAATGGGAGGGTGCGGTGAGGGTGTGGCAATCAGCAACTTCACAGCTAGATGCAACCAAATCTTTGCAATCCAAATCTTTTTTTGAGATCTGATAACGCTCAGTGGATTGTTCAAACCAACTTAGGAGGTTGAGAAAAATTTCATAGTACTTTTATACATAAAGTAGTTATCTTATTTCCAGGGGTGAAAGTAACTAATTACAATTTAGTGAAATTAATTCTATCCAAACCTTTTATTTGCATTTTTGAACTGAATCTGAATAGCATAATTTGAATTTGAATTTATTAGTTTGAAACTAAATTTGAGCCTCACTAAAAATTCAACTTTTTATGTACTTTCAAATTCAGTTCTCTAGATTCAATTTCAGTTCTGTAAATTCAAATTCAGTTCTCTAAATTCAATTTCAGTTCTCTAAATTCAAATTCAGTTCTCTCAATTCAATTGCAGTTCTCTAAATTAAAATTTCGTAATCTCAATTCAATTTCAAACCACAAGATTACACTTTTAATGTCACAGACGGGTCAAGGTGTTCAGTAAGAGCAATCGAGTGCAGATGCACAGAGCTCCTTTTTGTTTTGACCATTTCCTGGACCTGTAGAAAAACATGCTTAAGGGAGTCATATTATTCCCCTTTTCAGGTTCATAATTGTATTTTGTGGCTCTAATAGGTTTAGATGTTTTAATGTTCAAAAACACATTATTTTTCTCATACTGCCTATAGCTGAGCACCTCTTTTCAGCCTCTGTCTGAATCAATCGGTTTTAGCTCCTGTCTCTTTAAGCCCCCCCTCCCAAAAGCCCAGTCTGCTCTGATTGGTCGGCATTATGACGCGGATGACGCTCCGGCCCCTCCCACTGCCACCTCCTTCGGCAGTTAGCTCCTCACTGCTACTGAGTTTATCTGCATTTCTACGGCCAATATTAATTCAATAACTGCTTCTAAACCAAAAACTTCACCAGCGGACATGTTAGAGCGGGAGTCTGACCTGAAATCACGGAGAAATGAACATCAACAACAATCAGGATTACAGCTTTCTGTGACGTTTTCCTCAGGTAAATACTGCTATATTAATTAATTATATATATATATTAACCTCTATCACATAATGTTAGTATTTATACCTTAACTATGAAAACCAACAGTGTTTAATGCTTGTCATTACAGGTACAGCAGTGAGCAGTGACCTACAGTCTACACAGCCCAGTGAAGTTAAACATATTATATATTACATAATATTAACAACATTAGTCAAGCAGTTGTTTCTAGTGAAGAAACAGCCAGTAAATGTACCAAAGTAATCAGAGTAATAGTATGATGATTACTGTAACCTCCCATCTGATATATTTTTTATACACATTAGTTTACTGAGACCATGGAAACTTACCATAATGAGGCTACCTGCAATACTTTATCCTGTACAACATGTCAACATAACTGAAAGAATTACTCATCTAATAAAGTAACTTATTTATGTAGTTTAAAAACTGCTAAGTAACCAACAGTAAACTGTATTGTATCCATATTTCATAGTCTGATAGTTTAACTTGAAAGTATTATTACCAAAGTTAACCTTCAGATATGTGTAAAAGCTGCAATTAAGTTTTACGTTTTATTTTATATATTATGATTTAATTTATCTTCCAACATAATAAAGTTTGAATGTGAGACAGTAATGTATTGTGTTGCTTACAGTCATTAATACAGGTTTAAATTTCACATTTTCATACTGATAGATACTTTTCAACTCTTCTACATGCAGGAAATCTTCATAAAACCTCTGTGAAATAACATGTTATTTATATAAAACTATTAAACTATATTACTAAATTTAAAAATGACCAAAACTCTTCTTAAAAGTAAAACACTTTATTTATGTTTCATTCATATTCCAGTTACACATGTTGTAAGTAACAAAGCTATAACTTTTATGTAAACTCTGCAGACCGTGTCCTCCATCAAGGTTTATGGTTTCTAGTATACTGAAGTGTGAGCTGGTAATGGAGCTCTGCAGTCAGTGTTCATCTTCATCAGTCTTCCTTTGGATACCCAGACTGTCCTGATGCTCAGCTGTCTCTGTCCTCTGATGGGTCCAGGAACACCTGAGCTTCATCAGGTCACCTGTAAAACATGGCAGATTCAGTGTTACTTGTAAGACAGCATATAATATACAGTATAATATAATACAGTATAATATAATATACAGTATAATATAATATACAGTATAATATAATATACAGTATAATATAATATACAGTATAATATAATACAGTACAACAGCTCATTGTGGCTCACAGTAGTCCTAAGTTATAAAATAAAATAATAAAGCAGTGTCTCTGGTGGTTCCTTGTTGCAGCTAACTGTAGTGATGTGTTGTTGAAACAGTCTGAGGTTACCAACACAATGTCTATCTAATGGCAGCAGATACACACACACACACACACACACAGGACATTTACTGAGTGTAACTGATGTTGGAACAAGTTCCCGGTGCAATAACAGACATTTCAGCAGTGAGCCTCAGTGTTTATAATACAATAGGAGATTATATGAGTATAGGATGTTACACTGGACCTACACTTATATCGTCAGTAATAGCAGTACTTCAGTAACACTATAAATATGGATCAGAAAACTTTTATTCGTCGGTTTGACTCCACATAAAGCCTAGTGAGCAACCCCAGCTGCTGGGTGCTAATCAAAGTCTTCTCTCACTGTAGCTCTATTGTTTACTCCAGTGCACGTAGATCAAGTTAATTTACACACCGTAACACACACACACACACACACACACACACACACACCGTAACACACACACACCTGAACGAAGCAGCAGAACAACAAAGATAACGCTAGCTGAGGTAACGTTAGCGCGTAAGTAGAAAGTTACACAAGAAGCATCATGAACAATAATCACCATAACTCACTCTCTGTATTTTGTTAGCTGCTAAAGAGGCTAGATCACAGTTTGACTATCTCCCTCTCACGGTAGCTCTATCTTTACCTCCGGTAAATCTACATACAGCAGGACACAGACTGTGTCACTGAGGCTCCTGTAGCTAACAACGGTTAGCATGTGCTAGCATTACATGAACAATGACAAACAAAGCATAAATTCTTATAAATACTTCCAGTTTCTTCCTCTGCTGTCTCTCCACAGACAGTTGGTACAATCCCTCTTTCAGGAACAGTCTTTCAGCCCTCTGCATTAGTTTGGTTGACTTGGATTAGTTAACTGATTTAACTGCTTTGGATAGTTGTTTGAATTTGCTAATGTATTACTTTAACTAAAAGTGTGTTCATATGAATGAAAATTAAATAATTTATTGAACTTATCCAAGATTTCTTTTTTTCAACATAAGTAATGTGGCCTCTTGTAATACCTGTCTGATTTAAATTTGCGCATTATTTCACTCCATTCCCAGTTGTTCAGACTTAAAATCCTATTTCAGATTGGCTATTTGACCAAATCATTCAAAATCATGCTCAGCAAAATCTAATCAAAATAATTTAAATAAAAAAACTGATTTAACAAAATCACTATCAAAGTTACCTTAATCAATGGCTTTAACAAGTTTGTTTCAAAGGGAAATATGGCACCACCACTTAAAATGCAACCAGTAATGCATTTATTGACATATTTTGTCAGTCAAGACTTCAAACTCCTTGAAATACAAAGACAGCACTTTGAAATCAAAAACAAATTCTCTTAATGATAATGAATACAGTACACTGTATGATCTCTGTTCCTTTGCAGAGGAATTTAACAAGTGCTATGGCTATTGTTGAGGTCAAAAGATGGACCAAAGACTTTACATACAAACAGTCTGCAGTTAGTCTGTATCAAAGCTAATTTCTTGAAGTATAAGAAACAAATATCCCCATAGTAAGACATTATGAGCTTCTTTTAAAAAAAAGGTCATTATAATAGACATTTGAAATTATGTCATAACCTCAACTTTTTATCTCATTTAACTTTTTTTAAATCTAATTTTTGACTTTTTATCTCATAATTTTGATTTTTCCATCTCCTAATTTAGACTTTATCCCACAACTGAATTTCTATCTTATAATTTTGATTAGTTTTTTTTAAATCATAATTTTGATCTCTTTCGATCAAACTTTTTTCTTTCACTCTCAGAAATGGGCTTCCATATGTCCACAAGTGCTTATTTAGTAATGTACAAAATACAAAAATGAGCATTTGCATAAATTGTGCAAAACTTGAACTTGAGAGCATAAACTTCAACAGCAAACTTTAGAATTTGAACTTCAATATGTGAAGTTTTAAACACTCCAGCACAAGATGAGACATCTGAACACAACCTTAAAAGGTTTTCCGCAGGAGTTTGTTTCTTAAACCATGCACAAGTGAGGAAAACTGTCCTCCACCGATGTTCATCAGGACCTTCTGAATGACTTCAAATGTGTACCTTAGTTCCTTCGGATAGTCTATGTTGAGTGCAAAAAGAAGACCCATCAGCAAGGCAATGGCATGCGGGATGTCCTTCAGATCAGGCAGAATCACTCTTTCTTCAAGGACCACTGACGTGTCAATGATGTCTTCTCCATCTTTCACCATCACAACACCAACTTTCATCCCCCGAGTGAATGTGTTTTCATCATCTGTGGCCTACACAAGATATCAAAGAAAGCAAAAATATCTTACCATCTTTACTTGTTCTTGCAGTAATGTTTATATGATGGCATCTACAAGGGCCACAGAACAAAGTGAGTTCCATTTGCTGTTTAAACCAGCTGATAGGTCAAACATGGTGTCAAATTTGGATGCATTTTATCAAAGATGGACGGAGCTTTTCAAAGTAGCTTTTTGTTAAGGAATGGAGTGCATATTTGTGTCTAACATCTACAGACAGCACATGCATATTAGGTATGTTTGAGCAGGCATCACTTTGCAGGACCTACAGACCATTTTAAATTAACTTACTTATTCTTGACCACTGTAATAAGACATTAAACTATGCTTACCTCGACAGTCTTAAAAAAACATGAGGAATCCTCCTTAAGAAAGTGAGGAAGGCCCAGCAGAAGAACTGTCCTCTTCCTCTCTGTGCAGCTCTGATTAAAAAGAAAAAAACATAAATACAAGTTGTTTATTGAGCATCATCAGCCTGTAGACAGTTAAAATATTACTTAACTGTGTTTCAGCATTCCATCAAAATGTAATCAAAGGAATATCAAGAACCAGAGCTAGGCCAGTTTTTTAATATGCTAAATATTACCATTTGGTCACGTGAATTAGAACCTGCAAACAGCAAATGGTATCCATTCGACAACAAATTCTAGAAATGATAAAATACTGTAATCCTTGAAAGCTTAGTGGTAGGCAACTGGACTTGCTTATTTTCTTGAAGACATTTCAGAACTGACAAAGCCTCTTGGATGAGAGGTAAAACTTCAAGAAAATACGACTAAGCTTTCAAGGATTACCATGACCTGGATGACTGAGTACCTTCACAGACATAAAATACTGTAGTGATTGTCCAATCACAAATCATGACAAGAGTTTGGAGTTTAGGTGTTCACAACAACATGCATTTCTCCACACTGGTCAATTGCTCAACTATAGCTGCAGAACATGAGCTGCCCACAGAGCGCTGCAGTGTACCCAGTATGGTTAGTCCAATTTCTTAAAATGGGTGCCAATTGTTCAGCGCTTCGGGGTACTTTCGGTGTAGCTGAGCTGTCATAACCTGGGCCCACTCCACATTAATAGATAGGACATGGGCCAAACAAAGAAGTCAAAGTATACATCCACCAATTTTTTCCCAAGGACAGTTTCTATCATTTTAGGTGGTTCTTAACACACTGATTTGTATACAAGCGTAGTTTTTTCTCATCAGTTTAGTTTCAATTAGTTATTTGATGCTATTACAAGCAGGTTTTTACATCATGATTGACAGCTGAGCTGTGCTCGTGGTTGAGTTGGCAAGCTGTATGCATGGGAGCTCAATACTGCGGCTCCAACCTTGATCTCCATTGCACAGACTCTAGCTTCTAATGACGTCACTCTCGCTTCTAATGACGACACCAGCACAAGATGTAGCACTTGTATTTGGGATATTCAGGCTTTGTTTTTGTACAACAAGAGGAAGTGGAGACAAGCTTTCAATCTTAATTCATGTCGGTGATTGTAACACAGTACCCTATATTTTAGAATATTTGGGGTTGAGATCTAAGGATAAAACAGCCAACATTTTAGCACTTACGTCATCATCAAGACATCTCATCAGCCTGGTCAACCCCACTATGCCACTCTTGGCTTTGTACAGCTCAAGGAACCTTGCCAGATACTGGTCCAGCCCAGTGAAGAAGGAGCTCTTCAGGTCAACAGATGTAAGGCATACAAATTCTGCTTCAATCTGTGCATGTGGACAAAATAATATGCTTTTAATTAGTGCTTTAACTGGAGACTTTGAATGAGTTTAGGTTTAAAGAGATAGCTCAGATTCCATAATCAAAACTATCACTTTAAGAGCAAAATCTAATTTGAGAAAACAACTCAAAACACACACTTTACCTGCTGATCCCTGAACAAGGCTGGCCACCTTTCCTTGACTTGTGCCACAAGGGGTTCATCTTCAACAACTTCTTTTCTCCGTAAGGGGAATGTGTTACACATCATTTCACCTATTTTCTTCCAATCAACCTTTCTTTTCTTCATCTCCATGACCATGGCAGATCTCTCCATTTCAAGGTCACTGTGGGCTTTCCCTTCTGGAAAATCTGGCAGAAAGTTCACCTCTGATTTTTTGGCCCTCTTTAGTCTTTTTGGACTTGGTCCAGGGGTACGAGCATTGACTCTGACCTCGGAGCATCCAGCCACTCGCAGCTTCTAGCGGAAGTTGCCCATTTTGAACTTTAAACTGAACTTCCAGCATTACCACCCATTGGCACATCCTGGTTCCTTCAGACAAGGATGTTTGTTGATGAGAGCTTGAGCCACATGATCACAATCTTCACGTGCTGGATAGGGATTGTGAGGATATATGGCTTCTGCTAACTTGTCTAAGATATCAGACTTCATGTTCTTCGATACATCAAGTAGGGTGCCATCTCTATGGTAGGCTTCATTTCCTTGGCCTCAGTTTTAACTCAACATCAAAAGAAAAAGGCAGGAATGATAAATGGTTGAGGCAACTGACGAGTTTGGGTACCACTGGGGCCCTCCTCAAGGGAAAATGAAGACAGGCTTGCTGTGTCTAGAGTAGAGTCTGTGTGGTATGTTTCATATACCTTGGTGTGCACTTTCAAAGTAGCTTTATCTTTAGGAAGGTCTGACATGTAACTTAAATTGAACAGGTCATTATCAAAGTCGGGGTCTTGATACTGAATCACGAGAACCCCTTGCAGTCCAAGTTTGGTCTTTACAAGTGAGTAGAAGTCATCAACATTCTCCGGCAAGTTGTCTATGGTAACCCTTCTAATGTCATCTTCGCTCAGATGATGCGCGTAGCATGATGAAACTGTCTCAAAATGAAATAAAACAACAAAAAAAAAAAACAGAAGGAAGAATCAAATGTAACATATCATTTCACAACCAGATTGAGTGTGGTCATTTTAACACAAGGATTCATAATATTTCAAATTTCTCCCAAGGGGAATCAATAAAGGTACATCTAAAAGGTAGCATGTGCAGCCTTTTTCATTTACATGACAGGTCAGTTACATGACAGGTCAGTTAATGTGTGTGCACTGTATTTGCAGCAGCAGAATTTGGAACTGTTGCTGCAGTAGCCAACAGTAAATTTAGTAGCAGAGTAGCCTAGCTTTATGAAAAGTGTCATGGGGGGGGGGGGTGTTACATGAAAACAGATCAGACTTGCAAATGGCCATCGTAAAATAAATTATTATTATATTTCCAATGAGAAACCTGAGGATGCAGTGTGATGACGGGTTGCTGCAGCAAGACACACAAGAGCCATGCTGCTCAAGTAGGCTGTGTGGCACTTACTTGTTAATATGTGCACTAAAATGAAAAGAGCTGTGATGCACATTTGCTTCTCAGGTAGGCAGTGTGTCCCAAGTGTAATCTACAGATGTAATTTTATTAATATCACTTATTAATTAACTATAACAAACGCTTATGACTTACCTTTACCTCTTTAACAATTGAAGAGTAGACAGCAGCTGCAAGCTGATGGTCCAACTGTAAAAAAAGAAAAATGACATTAAATCAATGCAGCCACCTCAAGCATTTTCTTGCTTTCATTTTAACTCAAGAGGGGGGGAAATAGCTACAAAACATTACCTTAATGTACAAGGAATGCCTTCGGTGAAACCACTAGTTGACCTCGCACAGTGTATGCTGACAGTGGAATGTAGTGGTTCAGCTCTTCAGGTACAGCTACCATCAGTTGAGCAGGGTCTTTCTTGCAGACTTCGTAACACCTGAGGTGCTCCAAATACCAGGCTGAGAAAGATTCCAGAAGAAAGAATAGCTTGTTGCATACAAGCAACACATGGACAATCTTACAAAAGTCAGGAAGTCCACTTGTGCTTCCAACTGACACAAACATTCCCTTGGTATATCTTGTTCCACGTATGTATGCAGATGTGGCCAGAGATACACTGCTCAGATCTAAGCTTTCCAATGATGTCGAACACATGGAAATCTGATCATATTTGAAGAAGTTGTGGCCATTTGAATGTATGGACATCTCAAAACCCTTTAGGGAGAAAACAGCCCTAGAACATTTGCAATTCTCACCTCAGGAAATTCTTACCCCCTCCCAAGTCAACACAATGGTGCTCATTTGCATCTCATTAAGATAAGCCCCACCCCCTGCATCTGGTATCTTTTAGCCAACAATGGTTATCAAAAGCAGTTATCATGTTGTTAATGTTGATGTAGTGTTATTTTCCTTAAGTACTTTAGTGGACTGATCAGAATTAGAAGGTACTTTATTGAAATGGAAATGCTTTTATTACAAAAAAAACCCTGAATATCATTCATTAACACACAGGATAAGATGTTACAATCCCTTGTGCCATAATCCAAGGTATAAACCACATCTACACATCTACAACCACATCTGCTTAACACTATGTAAAGCGCCATGAGACGTGTATTGTTATGGTGCTCTATAAGTGAAATTAAATTGAAACTGAAATCTAGAAGTGTAGTGTAGATGCATCAGTCTGTTGCTGAATGAGCTCCTGTGGCTGATCAGCACATTGTGGAGAGGGTGTGAAGGAGAGTCCAATTATTTGGTGATATCACATCTGCATCCCCTTCTGCATACTCTTCTGTGGACTCTTCTGTGCTGTGACCCTTGGCGCTGGGCATGTGATGTCTCTTGCCTCGTCAGCATAGAAAGGCCTGATTTTTTCATAAAGATAGGTCTGCCTGTCAATGTTCAGTCCAGGTGGGGCCAGGACAGGAAGACTGTCACCATGTCACCTGACTCTGGGTGTATACATCCAAACTGTTCCTCAAGTAGGCTAGTTGCTAAAGCATTAGCATCACAGTCAATTCAAGCAATGCTAACAGGCACTATGTCACCTGACTCTGGGTGTATTTATCCAACTATCCTCCAGTAAGCTAGTTGCTAAAGCATTAGCATCACAGTCAATTCAAGCAATTCAAGCATTATTCAAATGAACAGCAGATGCTCACATTACTAGCCAAAACCTCCCATTACAGCTTAGTTTCGATGTGCATATCATTTTAAAACAACAGCCTACATTTAGTCCATGAGCCAGGGCCCCAAATTTGGGCCATCGGTATCATCTGGGGGGACAAAGTCTCATAGTGATTTTTGGCAAGGTATACAGCCCTAGTACTAGAAAAATCACGATAGCAGTGCAGGGGTACTCGTTACTGAAAAAAGTAACGCCGTTAGTAACGCCGTTATTTATAACGTCGTTATTCCCATCACTGGTTGCCTCAAGCTATCCTTGCACGGTGGGAGTTGATAACTCTCGATTTCACCTTTCCATCTGCTTCTTCTTGTTGACATTAAGGAGTTGACACCTCCTCACTGTCTTGATATGTGATTCTGTAACATTTGTCAATCACAGTTGCATATAGAATCTTCTCCTGTAGCTTTTCTCTGTATTCTGGCTTCCTCCATTCATTCACTATGAAGCTAGTGAGACTAGTTTTGTTATTGACTTTGGTCAGGAAGCTCCTCCACTGCCTCACCATCTGTGTGCTTGTGATATCCTGCAACTCATGACCAGTCTCTTCACCCCGTAGAGATCTTTTACTATTCTTGATTGAGTTCTGCTTGTATGTGTCGAACACAACATCTATTCTTCTACTCTGACTGCCTTCCCTCAGAGCCATACCCAGGATTGTTGTGGCAACATCTCTGAAAGTAACTTCATCACCTTTCACTCGTTGGACATCCCATCAACCACTGTGGCAGAGTTTTCTGGGTGTTTCTCCTGTAGTGCTACATTTTTCTGCAAGGCTGTGGCCAAAGTAGCATTGTTTGTTTTTCTCAGTGTGAATAAAACAAATAAACAAAGCTCTGGCTCTGAGGGAAGGCAGTCAGAGTAGAAGAATAGATGTTGTGTTCGACACATACAAGCAGAACTCAATCAAGAATAGTGTAAGATCTCTACATATCAAGACAGTGAGGAGGTGTCAACTCTTCAATGTCAACAAGAAGAAGCAGATGGACGACTACTTCTCCATGCCGCCCATGCCGCAAGAGAGGGATACCAATCTATAGTTATCTGTTCAGAAGACACAGATGTCTTTATCATGTCTTTAGCCTTCTGTGACAAGATTGAGGCGCCATTGTTCCTGAAGCGTGGCACAAGAACCCGTACAAGGCTGGTAGCTATCAGGAAGGTTGCAGCCACTGTTGGCATGGACACTTGTAGGGCTCTCACTGGGTTGCACGCCTACACAGGATGTGACAATGTAAGCGCTTTTGCAGGCAAAGGGAAGACAAGGGCACTTACACTCCTGATGAACAACAAAGAAACACAAGACACATTCTTGAAGTTGGGCCAGGAATGGGACCTCTCACCAGAACTGAGCAAAAAACTGGAGGCATTTACATGTGTCCTCTATGCCCCAAAAGCATCAACCACCATGATCAACAAGCTCAGGTACCACCTTTTCTGTGCAAAGAAAGGTGAAATCGAGTCATCAACTCCCACCATGCAAGGATAGCTTGAGGCAACCAGTGATGGGAATAACGGCGTCATAAATAACGGCGTTACTAACGGTGTTACTTTTTTCAGTAACAAGTAATCTAATTGATTACTCTTCCCATCTTAATAACGCCGTTACCGTTACTACCAAAAAATGCGGCGCGTTACTATAACTGAAGCTGTTTTTTTCATCAGACCAACTAGATCTCTGAGCCAAGAGGCAAAGATTTTTTTTTACTGTTCTTCCTTGGTTAGTGGGCAGTGCACGAGACAAGCGCATAAATGCTGACGATTGGCTGAGGTTGAGTAAAATTTCATGGTAAGCCAATCAGAGGTAGAGTTGGGCGGGTTTTCGAAAGCACGCATAGTCGGACACACAACGAACAACACAAGTGAGTTAGTCAACGAGAGACAGGTATGGCGAGCCCAAATAATCCAAAAGTAGTAGTATAGCCATACTGTTCCCTCAGAAATTAAAGGAACGATGTAATCGTGAATGCACATTATGCTATTATTATTATTATGTTGATCGAAAGCACCACATATTGTTACACGTTCTACTTTTCAAGAAAATACTTGAAGTACAGCCTTCTCCAATTGTCTGAGTTTTTTTGTTTTATTTGCACTAAAATTTATTTTTTTTTTTTAATGGTGCTTAACAAGCACAATTTAATTTTGCCAGTTGTGGCCTTTTGAGCAATAAATATCAATTATTTTTTTCGATCCACTATATAAACATAATATCTACATACATGGCATTTGATTGGAGGCTAGTCTCACTTTGTCCCACAGCAACATTAAAATAGTTTAGATTTGTGTACATTGTTTCTGTTAATAATGTATTGTATTAAGTGTCCATTTCATTATAATATTCAGATTTATCATAAATAATTGAACATGCACATGTATTTTAAGTTCCGTTAAAGAGTGGTGGAGGTGGGGTCACATTTGAGCATTTAAAAATGTACTTGAAAGTAACGTAATAGTTACTTTCTGAAGTAACTAGTTACTTTTATAATTTGTAACTGAGTAACTAATTTAGTTACTTTTTGGAAGAAGTAACTAGTAACTGTAACTAATTACTTTTTAAAAGTAACACTGGAGGCAACACACACTGCGAGCTAACTATCAGGCTGGTATTTGGAGAAGATGTTTAGAAAAGGACCCACAAGTACCAAGCCCTGTTGGCAGAGGATGGAAGATGGAGACAGAGGAGGAAGGTGAACAGTTGGTGCTGCACTGGATGGAAGGCCGGCCAGCACCTGAAGCTCTCCTGGATCTACTCGCCTGCAACTGCACAAAAAAA